ACAAGCAGACCAGCTGGGAGACCACACCAACCAGTTATCGAGGTTGGCCATGGTCCAAAAACCTAGCAGACGGGTACCATGACCAGAGTCAAGCATGAAAAAACACAAGGTGCCAGATTCAAACCAAACAGGACAACGAAAGTTGTAAGCCTGTTGCCCCACCACAAAACCTAACCAATCCCTGAACCCCAGATAGAGAGAAATGCACCAATACGCATCCATGAGGTCCAGAGAAAGCATCAAAGCACCTAGATCGAGAATGAGCTGGACCTGAGACAACGTGTCCTTCAAAAGGGGGGTCAAGGAATTAACTGGTACAGACGAGACAAGTCCAGAATGAACCGGAGAGCTGCACAGTCCTGGATCGAAACTGGAAAAAGGCAGGATACCCAAAGGAGAGATGAAGACAGTTCGATCACCCCGCCCGCAAACCCAACCCCCCCAAAAGGAGGAAGAGATGCCTAATGCCACCGAAGACCGTAATAAATGACCCAAAAGCCCACGAGACACGGGACCAGGCATAGAAAAAAACAAGGCGAGCTTTACCCCATTGCCCCGTCAACTGGGTGACCGTGAAAGGGCCGAAATGAACCCCGAGAGGCCGACCGGCGTACAGAACGAACACCGCACCCACCAGACAAGTCATTGGGAAGCTCACTGACTCAGAAACTGGCACCAAGGGCCAACCACGCCCAAACGAGGCACGAGCCCTGGGACCACTTTACCGGGAGGACAGGGAGCGACCCCCTCCCTTGAGAACCAACAAAGCCAAAATAAGCCGGCTACTAGCAGAAGGCTCTGACAGAAACAGAGCAACACAATCCTCCGGGAGCAATAGAGAACAAAATGGCGAAGGCTGAAGAGCCAGGGTCCCAAGTCGAATCCAAAGAGAACAAGCACAACCTGTTGACATCACAGGACGACAGGTAAAAAACATAGAAACCGCCACCTTGAGGATTAGCACAAACAGCTGCAGCAAGGCAGACAATGCTGAAGCAGCCAAGTCCAAGACCACCAATCCTGGGCCCCCACCCTGAACTCTTACATCTTCAGAAAGCCAAACCAAAGACAGGTACAGAAGACTAAAGAAATACAAGACTGAGGCCAAATGTCCATAAGTCCAAAAGTCATCAGCCACCAAAGCAGCTGAAAGAGTGGAAACCAGAGCATGAATCCGCACCAGATCAACAACACGAAGAAGTGCAGGGGTGAAGAGGAACTCGTTAAGAAACTCAAGTTAGCCAACAAAGAACACCTGCAACACCATAGGAACCTCACACCACTCAAGCATGCAGGTACAACAAAAGCCTCACCAAGCTCCAAGGAAGAAGAGACAGTCTGCCAGCCAGGATGACTCCGGAACAACGGAATGCACCCAAAATGAGGAGAAGAGCCAGACTGAAAAGTAGCCAGATCCAACACCGAGGCGTAAGCCGGGTCCCGCAGGAGGTAAGCGCTGAAAGCCTCCTGAACCTCTGCAGGGGAAATCAGAAAGAAAATCTCTGAAAGGACATATCCGAGGAACCCAAAGGCCCCAGAAATGAGCCTGAGGAGGGAGGGGGGGGGGGTTCAGAAATTCAAAAAGGGAAGAAGGGAATGAAAAAAAAACTTTCCCTGTGAACGAAGCCCCTGCCAGAGGGCACAAGGGTCCAAGCAGGGCAAAGGGAACCCAAGAGCTCCATGCGGACTGCCCCCGAGCCCCAATAATCACTGGATGTGATTATCGATAATCACTCAGTGTTTACTCGAGTTGGATGCAACAAAGGTTATAGGCCCAGATGGAATCTCCCCTTGGATACTGAATGAAGGAGCAGAAGCATTGTGCCTGCCACTCTCCATAGTGTATAACAAATCACTGGCAACAGGGGAACTGCCAGAAATTTGGAAAGTAGCTAATGTAGTCCCACTATACAAAAAAGGGAATAGACAGGAGGCACTGAACTACAGGCCAGTGTCCCTAACCTACATACCATGGAAGCTGATGGATAAGATTGTGCGAAGAAAGCTAGTGAAACATCTGGATCGAAAGAACTTTATAACACGGCATCAACATGGGTTCAGGGATGGCAAGTCCTGTCTCACAGGGTTAATTGAATTCTATGACCAGGCCACAAAAATCAGGCAAGAAAGAGAGGGGTGGGCAGACTGCATATTTTTGGATTACCAGAAAGCCTTTGATTCAGTACCACACCACAAGAGGCTAGTGAAAAAGCTGGAAATGCAGGCTGGAGTGAAAGGGAATGTACTCCATTGGATAAGGGAGTACCTAAGCAACAGGAGACAACAAGTCACTGAGGGGCGAGGTCTCAGATTGGCGAGACATCACCAGTGGAGTCCCGCAGGGGTCAGTCCTTGAACCTATACCGTTTCTGACATATGTAAATGATCTCCCAGAGGGTATAGACTTGTTTCTCTCAATGTTTGCTGATGATGCAAAAATTTTGAGGAGGATTGAAACAGAGGATGATAGTAGGAGGCTACAAGATGCCCTAGACAGACTGAATGAATGGTCCAACAAATGGCTGCTAAAATTCAACCCGAGTAAATGCAAAGTAATGAAACTAGGCGGTGGAATCAGGAGGCCAGACACAGGATACAGAATAGGAGATGAAGTACTTAATGAAACAGACAGAGAGAGAGAGATCTAGGAGTTGATATCACACCAAACCTGTCTCCTGAAGCCCACGTAAAAAAGAATTATGTCTGCGGCATATGCGAGGCTGGCTAACATCAGAACAGCCTTCAGGAACCTGTGTAAGGAATCATTCAGAATCTTGTACACCACATATGCAAGACCAATCCTGGAGTATGTGGCCTAAGCATGGAGCCCATACCTTGTCAAGCAAAAGACAAGGCTGGAAAAAGTTCAGAGGTATGCCACTAGACTAGTCCCAGAACTAAGAGGCAAGAGTTACGAGGAAAGGCTGCGGGAAATGCACCTTATGACACTGGAAGACAGAGGAGTAAGGGGAGACATGATCATTACCTACAAAATCCTCAGGGGAATTGACAGGGTAGACGAGGATAAACTATTTAACACTGGTGGTACGCGAACAAGGGGACACAGGTGGAAACCGAGTACCCAAATGAGCCACAGGGACACTAGAAAGAACTTTTTCAGTGTCAGAGTAGTTAATAGGTGGAATGCATTAGGCAGTGATGTGGTGGAGGCTGACTCCATACAGTTTTAAATGTAGATATGATAGAGCCCAGTAGGCTCAGGAATCCGTACACCAGTTGATTGACAGTTGAGAGGCGGGACCAAAGAGCCAAAGCTCAACTCCCGCAAGCACAAATAGGCGAGTACTGACAAAGGGCCTGGGGCAGAGCCCTCATCCACACCCACTACCCCAGAAGGAAAGGCTTCAAAGAAGAGAGTCTGCTGGGTCGACTCAGAAGCCTCGGCGGAAAAGAGGGGCTCAACCACCTCTGTGCCCACATTGGAAGGGGCAGCCCTTAAAACCACCTGAGCCTCGTCCCAAGCTAAACCCCGTTCCAACTCCGAAACCTCAGACGGTTGGGAGCCGGCAGCAGGGATGGAAAGGGGTGGGAAGGAGGAACAGGGCAAACCACGCCCACGTGGGTAGAAAAAGGGAAGGAAATGACCAAATCCCCCAAAGCCGAGTCCCTAAAACCCAAGCGAGTTACCTTCAGGGCCTCCAACCCGACCAGTTGCAAGAAGAACCGATCATGCAACGTGGCCGCTGCCTGATCCCTGAAATCATCAGATAAAGTTTGAGAAATTGGAGCACAAGCGGAGAACAAATCCCACAAGACCCCCGGGATTAAGGTGTCACCCGGACCCAACAGGCAGCAAGACTGAGGCAGAACGAATGATCGTCTCCGTAAGGCAGAGGCGAAGGACTACCCTTCAATTCGCCCAAGGTGAGAGCTTGGAAGTACCACCATGGTACAACCGAGCCCACAGGGGTTTTCCAGGGCCCGTAGAGTGAATAAGCCTTACGGTAAGCCCAGGCACAGGGGGCAAGCCAAGCCGGTAAGCCCTGCCTGAAGCAGGCAAATCGACAGCAAGTAGCAGTTGTGAAACCTTGGGGGGCAACAGAGGAGGACTATCACCACAACCTAGACTAATCCTAATAAGGAGCTAGGCAGACCTCCATTGCCACAACAGGCTAAAATACCAAACTGAAAACAAAAGAAAACCCTTGAAATCTCACAAAAATGCAAATTAGCAGCCAGAAAGAAACATCGGCCACCACGTGATAGTAATGCCTGCTCAAGGTTTTAGTGTGCTCCACCAGCAAACAAAGAAAAACAGAAAAAGACAGACAAGACAGAAAGCCCAAGACCCCCGACATCCCAAGGGCGAGAACAACCACAAGCAAGGAAGCCCCTTAACGGGGTGTGATTCCTGAATGTCCCAGGGGAAAATAACCCTGAGATGCAAGGGCAGCACTTACAGAGCACCTAGGGAATGTGGCCCTAAGCACATGCTCCTCCAGTACTCTAAACTCCTGGCAACACACACACACATCCATTTTTAAAACACTGCCACAAGGGCAAAACACCAAAGAAAATGGGAATATAAGAGCCAGAGCGACCACTCGGCACAACATCAAAGAACTAAATTGGTGGGTTCCAAAACTGCCCTCCCCCCCCCCTGTGGAAGTGGGGGGGGGGGGCCCTAGTTGGATGAAGTGTTGCTTGTTTGTTTGTTTTCTTTCTGGGGGAGTGCTTTTGCTTTTTTTGATAATGGAACTCGCAATTTTTAACCAGACAATTTTGATTCTGTGTTGATTTGCCTACCTTTCTGGGACCTTCCCTGGTCGATGGCAAAATATGATATTCTTTAAATGTAAGTGATCCTAGGCCATTGCTCCTTGCGCATCTCTGAGGGGGCCAGGTTCTGGCTCATTGTCCCCAGTAAAGAACTCTGCGACTGATGGCACTCGAGTAGTATGGCACTTTATCAGTAAGATAACTTCAGGGAGCCAACAGGGTTCCCCACAGAAAATTTAGCAGGACTTGCTTTATCTCACCTGACTGTCCTTAACAATACTGGTCATGTCTTGCTGAATGGATGAAGCTATCCCAAAATCAATAAGTTTCACCATTCCGTTGAACAAGAGGAAATTGGCTGGCTTCAAATCAGAGTGAATGATTCCTGTAAATAAAATGTTACCAATGAAATAAATACATAAAACAAATTACAAATTGCCTTTAAATTTGTTAAATATTGTACTCTACCATAACAAGTCACTAGGTGGCTCAAAAAAAAAAAGAAAGCTACAGTGGGGAGTTGTAAGAAAACTAACCAATTTCATACTGCAATACTTTTCCAATTTAAACCTGTTTTGTTAACCATTCCAGACTAGCATGGAAGAGTAGCCGCCTTCAATGAGTAATATCCGAGTGCCCTGTTTCACACACACTGTCAGCATTCACTGCTCCACCAGGCATTCTAACCATAAAAATACCTTCTGTAATTAATCAATACTGTCACCCAAGTTGCACAAAAAAAACCAGCGTTGAATGTAATGAAACGCCATTTTCTGGGTGAGACCCGGAGGCTCCCCGGAGCTTTACCGGCTGATATGCTAATGTCAGACTTTGGCATCAGTCATGTGTATGGAGTTCTAGGGCCTACCGGGGACCACGAGCCAGAACCTGGCCCCCTCAGAGAGGCAAGGGGAGCAATGGCCTATAGAAACCCCCGTGTGGTTGGAAGCATTCTATGTCTGCCATCGACCGGGTCAAGCATCCAGAAAGGTAAGCATTCCAAAACAAACCCCTATTCTGGTGAAAATTGCTACCTAAGCCGAACTAGTGAATAGAACTCTTCAACAGAAAACAAGGAAACTAGTATGACGTCATACGTCACCGCGCCGCTGTCTGCGCAGCTCCCCCCTCCCCGGGAGGGGGAAGGGGGAGCCCCAGACCTCCCACGCCGGCTATCCACCCATCAGTTCTGAGGCTGGATGTCAAAACACGCGAAAAAACGCCGACCGAAGGGAGGGAGGGTTGCCGGGGAGCCTCCGGGTCTCACCCAGAAAATGGCGTTTCATTACATTCAACGCTGGTTTTCTGGGGGGAGCCCCGTCGGCTCCCCGGAGCTAACTACCCACAGAGGAAGGTCAAAGGGACAAAACCGGGAGGCGGACACCACGCACCCCCCAAGGAGGCGAGACAACCGGCAGCAAACGCCAACCCAAGGCGCCACAGCCCCGAAAATCCCGGGAACAACACGAGAACCACGAGCAGCAAGGCCCCTGCACGAACACCAAAAATCCATGCCCGAAAGACCGCAAGGCCACGTCGCCCAGACGGCAGCGAGAGCAGCAAAGCCACGAACGGCACAGGCATGAGGGAAGAACACAGGCAGCTTAGCCGCAAGAACACGGCTGACCACCTGGGACACCATCACCCGCGAACCGGGAAGAACAGAACCGGATCAACGCAAAACGCGCTCCGGACCCAAACGCCGTGGCACGCAAACAACAGCGGAGGGCCGCCACTGAACACAAAAACGACACACCCCCGGCCCGACCAACGAAGCACCAACAAACCCTGGACCCCTCCAGAATGCAGCAGCCCCACCCCGCGCCAGAAAAAGATGGAGACTGCTGCCATCAAACAACCAAAACGCTAAAACCGAAGGAGCAAGAAAACTCAGCGAATCGACCCCCAGAGGCAAAGGCCCAAAGGAAAGAGCCGACGAAAAAACACACCGGAACCGAAGGGGCACTACCAACCGAGGAGAAGATAGAGCACGCTGACCAGAGACCAGGATGGTGCAAGCGGCGCACGAACAGGCCGGAGGTGAAATGACGCACAAGACAGCTGACTAACGGTGCAGAAGCAACACCAAGACCGAAAGCAAGCTGAAGCGGCTCCGCCTGCGCCGCACGAAAAGAGGCGACAGTATGTGGCAAGACGACGGCCCCCAACCCCCACTAGAAAACCAAGCCGAGAGTAAACCAAGCTAACAAGAGGAACCACCTAAGAAGGGACAGGAAAAGGAAGGACCGCCAAAATACCCCATACTGCCGCCAAGAGAAGCACGCAGGTGGGACACCTACCACGAAGCCACCCGACCACCAACCGGAGGCGAGACCACGAGGCAGAACATAAGCAGCCCCGACAAGGCCCCCCCCGAGCCCAGGAAAAAAGGCGGAGCCGCGAGAAGATCTCGGGCGCGACCACTGAAACCCAGGCGGCAGAAGGAGATGGAACGTCTGCCGAACAGAAAAACTCCGAAGCATGCAAGCCCGCCAGGAGGTCAGAAACGACGGGTCCGACACGAGACATCGCAAGAACCCCCCCCAAAAAAAAAACAACAACAACAACAACCGGCAGGGCAAGCTAGGAAAACCAAGAAGGCGGAAGGGTCGCCGCCAGAACAGGACCCGAACCAAGGGGCACGAACAACTGCAACAGACCGAGACAAAGAAGCACACCACAGGACACAGGCTGACCAACGCCTAAGAACACACGCAGGACATCCCTGCTGCAGAGGAGGCAGGCAGAAAGAGCTGAAGCACAAAAAAAAAAAATTAACCAGGAGAACAACCAGGGGTGGACAATCAGGCAGGGACAAAAACCCCACGCAATCCCCAGGCACAAAAACGGCAGCAAAGTGCCACTCCACAACCGGACACAGGAACAAGAACACGCCACCGTGAAACACGGTACCAATGCACACGTGCACCAGCAGCAACAGGCACCACTGCAACATGCAACATGTAAATAGCAGCTTCCCTCTGCAAAGGCAGAGAACGGAGCAGGCAGACCCCAGACAGGGCCAACGGAGACACGACAAAACCCTGCAGGCCCAGAAACCTGCACCAGGCGACCGACGGCGGAGAAACCCCGCTCGATACCTGCTGGATGAGGTACTGGGAGCTCTTTTACACCTCAAGCCCGGCCCAAGGTCAGGCCAGACCGGCCAGAGGATGGCCCACCAGGCAGCTGCTAGGAGCAGTCCACCGGCCCACATACCCCCACAACCAGGACGGGCCGGAGCTGCCATACGAAAACAGGCCAGTGCGCCCTGGAAGTCCACGGACGAACCAGCAAGAAGGCTTATGCTCGCAAGTAGGTCGTGTAACAAGCACAGACCACTGATGGTAATACAGTGTTCCCCAAAAGTGCCAATAGCACCACTGCACTCCACTGGTACTATCCCGCAAGTTCTACCAGATAGGCGGGACCCAAGAGCCAGAGCTCAAATAATGCAAGCACAGCCAGGAGCCTCACCAGGTGAGCACAGAACCAACCCTACAACCCCCACACCTCAACATTAAAAAAAAAAGGAGGGTCCCCTGAATGACTCCAGCATGGGTTGGACATGCACATGAGGGGGACAGGAAGGGGTGATAAAGGGACAGTCACAGGTGTGCGAACGGTCTCAGTCGTACAAAAATATACCTAAATAAAGACAGGTATATAAACACCGCCGCATCCAGCGCCCGGCCAAAAGACGCCAGACCGCAGAAACTCACCTGGCGAATGGTGGCTCGAACTTGACACGACTCAACCGTGCCCAGAAGAACTTGGGAGCACCGCCAGGTGAAGACGCCAGAGCCGGACCCTGCCGGACCCGCAGGAGAACAGGGAGAGGCGAAGAAGGCGGTCCACACCCATGACAGGGAAAACTGCGGTGTCCTCCCCACAACAGGGGACCAGGACACCCCCGGCGCGAAGGGGCACATACCGCAGCCAGGGAGAAGAACGAGAGGCGAAGCACTGTAGCAAAAAAAGGAAACAGGAACAATAAAACCGGCCAAAGAAGCAAAGAGCCCAAAAAAAAAAAAAAAGGAACCCAACCGGGCGACAAGTAGCCCAACCAGGCGACAAGTAGCCCAACCGGGCGACAAGTAGCCCCAACAGGGCGACAAGTAGCCCAAACAGGGCGACAAGTAGCCCAAACAGGGCGACAAGTAGCCCAACAGGGCGACAAGTAGCCCAACAGGGCGACAAGTAGCCCAACAGGGTGACAAGAACTAGGAGCCGACAGACGTTCCAATAATGCGGGAAGTAGCGAAAAACCTTCCCGTACCCTCGAGAACACAGAAGCCAACACTAGTCCCGAAGGCACACGAAGGCGCAGGCGCACCCGAGATCAGAAGTCAAGCAGAACCCCATCGAACGGGGAAACATGACAAAAACACCGTCCCAAAAAGCGGGGGAGGAAACAACCACCCACAGGACGGAACCAACCGACTCAAAGGCCAAGGAACCGAGCCCGGGGAGGGGCCGACGTCCAACAGCACGTACGGCGAGTGAGGAGGAAAGACCCCACTCCGCGTAACCACAAGCCCCGCCTAGAGGGGGATAAAAACCCCCACGGGGTCTAACGGGGCCAAGGCCCCCCCCAAGTCAGCCCCTCCCCAGCCCCGGGAACCTACACGACAGGCCCCGGGGCCGAGCCGTTCCCCCAAAGCCCCGGCCGTACCAGAAAACCGGGGCAGCCGTGAAAACACTAAGGAAGGGAGCCCACTGGCAGACTCATACAACACGGCTGGAGGAACAGGCCCAAATGCCCCCGTCACTACCCCGGAAGGGGAAGTCCCCGAGACTGCCCGAGTCTCAACACCACCAAACACCCCGCCCTGAACCTACAGACGGTAAGGAACCGGATGCAGGCAGGAAGGGTGAACCAGGAGAAAGACAAGGGGGCGTGGATGGAACCGAAGCAACCAACACCCCCAAGTCCCAAAACGAACTACAACGGGGCAGCCCCGGGGCTCCCGGGGAGAAAACCACGAGAACGTTGCCACCACCAAGGCTCAAGTGCAACGCCCCTGCTGCCCGCACCCGCTTTGTTAGCACAACTGGGTAACCGAGCCACAACGAGCAACCAAACTCGCAGGACACCGGGTCGAAGGTGTCACCGACCCCACAGGCAGCAGACGGAGGCAAAACAGAGAGTCACCCAGAGACAAAAGGTGAGAGCAACCCTCAAACTCGCTGGAAGCGAGGGGGGGCTCTGGGGTCACATCCATCGGACCCGCGCGCCCCCAGGGGTTTCCCAGGGTCCCGAGCGTTTACTTTAAGAGGACTCGCGCTCAGGTAATCCCAGGCAGGGTACTGCTAACCGGCACCCAAGCTACCAAACAACTTTCTAAGAGCTGAACCCCCGGGACGTGTACACTCACGGGGACCTAGCAGGGGGTACCACCAGAAATACTCAGAACACAAGGGACACAAGGGCAAGAACGAAGGCAGACCCCCCCCACCAGGTATATAAACAAAAGAAAAAGAAAACCCCGCAAGAGGACAGCGTACCCAAGCGGAACAGAGCCGGCCGCTATGATTGGTAAAGACAAGCTGCACAGTACCCCGCGCCCCACCAGTGCAAACACTGCCCCTTACTCTAAGGCGAACAAGGGAGACAGAACACCCGAGCACACAAAGAGCGGCCGAAAAACCAAGCAGTAAACGGCCAAGCAGGGGCAGGACCCAAGGAACTTGTGGAAGGTGGCCCCAAGCCCCAAGGGCAGTACTTACAGGGCACCTAGGGAAGGGAACCCTAGGCGCATGCAGCCCGAGTACTGAAGAATCACTCCCGGCTCACGCACCACCTAGAAAACAGACACCACACTCTAGGTACAGTGCTGAAACAACCACTGGAGCCGGAGCACATAACCATTGCCTATAGCATCAGCCGAAGAACTGATGGGTGGATAGCCGGCGTGGGAGGTCTGGGGCTCCCCCTTCCCCCTCCCGGGGAGGGGGGAGCTGCGCAGACAGCGGTGACGTATGACGTCATACTAGTTTCCTTGTTTTCTGTTGAAGAGTTCTATTCACTAGTTCGGCTTAGGTAGCAATTTTCACCAGAATAGGGGTTTGTTTTGGAATGCTTACCTTTCTGGATGCTTGACCCGGTCGATGGCAGACATAGAATGCTTCCAACCACACGGGGGTTTCTATAGGCCATTGCTCCCCTTGCCTCTCTGAGGGGGCCAGGTTCTGGCTCGTGGTCCCCGGTAGGCCCTAGAACTCCATACACATGACTGATGCCAAAGTCTGACATTAGCATATCAGCCGGTAAAGCTCCGGGGAGCCGACGGGGCTCCCCCCAGAAAAACTGTATTAAATGTAACAAAATGCTTCTTTCTCGGCAAGCCCTGGTGGTACCCTGAAGCTAACCTGCAGAGATGTCACCCTATACACACTCGCATCAATCTTAGAAGCTCTGTTGGCCTACTGGGAATCTAGAGCTAGAATCTGGCCCCCCTAACAGAGGCACAAAGAGCAGGGGGATTGTTATGCTCACCCTCAGCAGAACACACCCACAAAAGCAGACGAGACATTACACAGAACTGCATTGTTCCTGAACACAAAGCAATGAAACAGCAAACAGATACTGCAAAAGAATCACTCAAAATGCAATAGTTCATTCGGACCTGGCTACCAAACACCCCTAGTGTACATGTGCAGGTACATGTCACGCCTGGCAGCTAAAATACCTACGGACCTCCACCAGTTTCCTCTGGCTTCATCCTGGTCAGGCATAGTTCACCATCTTTTGGGTCCCAACACCACCTGACCAGGTGGTCAGTCTGAAGCTAATGAACCACAGACATACCTGGTAGGTGGGGGGGGGGGGGAGTTGGGGAATCACTGGGGCTCACCAAGAAAGGGGCATTTCTTTTCAAAGCTGGTTTTCTGGAGGTGCCCATTGGTGGCTCCCTGAAGCTAATAACAGAGGAGAACACATGACTTACCAGGGAGGAGGAGAGGCAGCAAGCATAAAGTTTCATAAAAACACTGGACCAGAAAATATGGTCCAGGCATAGAACACAGGCCTGACTGGGAAGAGGAGTTCCACCAAACAAGCAATGCACCCCTCCCCCTGGCCAGACCAACCAAGCATTACCCCACAGACACCTCTGAAAGCTAGCAGTCATTCTTCACCAGAAAGTAAGGAGAAGGTTGAAAACAAATCACCCATTACAGCCAAAGGGGAAAAAAATCTTGCCTCCAGATAAGAGCCTGAAGCTCCCTAACCCTACAGCCAGAGGCAACAGCCAACAAAAACAAAGCTTTGAGAAAGATATTACGAGCCGAAGGGAAAACCTTCCCTTCGTTGCTGGTTGCAACGAAGGGAAGGTTGCTGGATGGGCGAGTCCTTTCAGACAAAAGGATTCCATTCGTATGTGAACTATTTCTTCAGGTGGGTGTGGACATCAGGCCTGATATGAGATTGCAATTAGTGCGAGGATGGACTCCCAAGATTCATCTTGAAAATTTCCTCCATTCACAATTAAGCTCACCAAGATCAGCATTTTGGAGATCCCCCAGTTCACATCTATATGTGATTTGCACATATTTCTAGTGTAACTGTCTTTCTTCTCAAAGCACTGGTTAAATGTTTGCACTATCTCCTCTTCTTCCCATCATATTTCTGCAAGGTCTTGGTTTGTTTCCAGTTAATTGGTTTGTCATTAAAATTGAATTTGCTGAATTCTTCTTCTATTGAATCCAAGACTGGCTGCACATTGCCCATGCCAGTCTTAACTTCAATTAGGTTGTGACTGGAGTAATGTATATTTGTAAAATGATGTCCCTAATCAGTTGATCATTATTTGTAAAACTAAGTTCTAGATTTGTTTTCTAATTGGTTCTACTGTTTGCTGGTTTATATTAAGGCAAATACAGTATCATACACCTGCAAGAGGTCACTTTATTTTGACAGCTTCCTGGAATTCTCTGGTATAACTATTTGCCACTTTTTTAATGTTAGGTGCCTGAAGGTGAAATCACCAAGCACGATGATGTTTGGGGCAGTATTTGAGGTTTTCTAGGCAGTATTCTATTTTCATAAGTTGGTCATTAAATTACTCAAGATTTGCATATTGGTGATTTCTATACAACAATAATAATCACATTTAGAGGTGCATGTCAGAAAATCAAACCAAAAGTGAAATTATCTAATTAGCCTCAAGACAAAGTATGTTGTCAGCTTTATGATGGAAAGTACAGTATTTTACTCAAGCTCCTCATTAAAACCTTAAGATGGGAGGAAATGCTCAAACTGAGGTCAAATATTTTACCCCCAAAAAATGCAAGTACAGTCGAGTATTTAGTCTGAAAATGGGGTAATAACTATAGTTAACTAATAAAATGTCAATCTGATAAAATTATAAATTCAAAGATACTTTAACGGGATCATTCTGTAACTTTAAACCAAACTAAATGAAATACTCAAAGCTAACATAACCAAACCACTTTGACTTATCGGTAGAGTGATGGATGCCCTTGCATCTTACCGAGCTGACATTCAATCCCCAATTGTCCAAGTGGTTTAGCAGTTTCTTCGTCCCATCCTGATATCGTTTTCAAGTGCTATACATTCATACTAGCTTAAGTGCTTTCTCCTTATAATTAACTTACCAGAGCCAATATTGATAAACAAAATACAATGATGCTGTCTTACCTTCCTGGTGAATAGCCTGGACTGCCCGCAACATTCCCTCCCAGTAGTGTTGGATGGTATACGAGGAGATGGGTGCTGCCTTCTTGCCCCGAGCGCTAGCTATGACGGTGGCCAGGTCGTCGTTACCCTTCTCCATCACAAGGCTCAGGTGGTTGTTGCTCTCCTCACTCATGAAAGCAAACAATTGATAACTAATGACCGATTCAAACACAAAAACATAGGAACACACAAAACTGCAGGACACTACTGGCCCACACTAGGCAGCTCCTATTTGTATCCATCCAAACTCATTCATATATCTAACTAACCTATGCTTGAAACAATCCAGTGGGCAACATACCTATTTTGTAACGCAATAACTTTAACCCTTAGACAGCGATCATCATTCGTCGACTCACGGGGTAATGCGGTTATTGTCGTACAGCAATATAAACAATTAATGTCTGGGTTTTATATGTATGATGCAAATATGGATATAATAGCTGTATGTGGATGTAATGGAGTTTACCTTGACCCCATGAAAAAATCCTGCTACCATTTCATGGTTGTGTGTACTAGGAGTAACTGTCATGTGTGCGCGCGCCACATTGGTGGCTTATGCCATTCTTTCAATACTCTTGCCCGTGTGGTGCCAAATAGGTCATATGTCATCACCCAGAGCCCAACTCCATTGTATATTACGTTCATATCCTTTTAACTACTCTCTTAATGGTATATCTCTTGTATCTCTCTTGATGCAGTATACCAGGTAAACCAATCATCAATTGAAATACATTTTATTAAAAGAATTGTGTTATGTGATTTATGAAGTTATTGTATTCAACACATACAATTGCACATGAAGAGAAACAAGTGACAAACAATTAGCAAAACCCCCGAGGATAACAAACGGAGCATCACCAGGGTCAGGCACCGGGTGTTGACACACCCATCACACCCCCTTCCAAAATACTTACACCCATTGAAACAATAAATAATCACTTATTTTTGTGTTTTCTTACATTTTGCATCCAAATTTATAGTTCTATAATGAAAAGTTATTTTTTTTTTAATTTCTATATTTTTTCCGCATAGGCTGGTTCTCCATGACCGCTGTCTAAGAGTTAAGTAAAGCTTCCATCAAATTTATTTTTGGAATACTGGAGTAAAGGAAGCCAAACACTGCAGCAACCAAGATAAAACAAACATTAGGCTGGAAGTGAGAAAGGAATTGGCATCTAATCCAAAGTTGGTGCAAAACACAGTTGATTGGAGTAAGTCCCTGATCATTTTTGGTTGCAAAGAAAAGGAGATAACATCTAGGTCAGAAAGAGCTGTAGAAGAAGCGATAGTAGTAGATAAAATTGTTGGCCTCGTAGAAGGTCTTACTACCATAGAGAATGTGTGCGACTACAGGAGAATAGGCAGATACGTAAAAGGGAAAGATCGACCTTTGAGGATCACCCTAAGCGGTGCCAAACAGATGGAAGAAGTACTAAGGAATGCTAGAAAATTACAAAGTGATGAGGATGGGAAAGTGTGGTCGTTAAGACGAGATCTTTCAAAAGAAGACAAAGAGAAGCTGAAACTGAACATCGCCGAGGCAAAACGTTTAAATGAGAGAAGGAATGAAGAAGAAATTAATTCTTTTTTTACAAAGTGTTAGGAGTAGACAGACCAGTAAAGTGGTACATAAAGGTAAACCAACAAAATCAATAGAGAGAGGGGGAGTGAAGAATAAGGAGAGGGGGAACAAGTTCCTGAAGATTGCATACACCAACTTGGATGGAGTGAGATCAAAGATACTGGAGTTAAGTGATGTAATACAGCTGCAGACACCAGACATTGTGTCTGCAGCTGTGACCAGACTGACGGAGACAAAAGATGTTATTTTAAATGAGGTCATATTCCCAAGGGGCTCCTCAATTTGGAGACGGGACAGAAAAATCAGGAAAGGTGGTGGCGTTACTGTGTTGGCGAAAGGACACCTAAAGGTGAAGGAAATAATGACTGCCAATCCACAAGAAGTTGACATAATAGCACTAGAGATCTGCCATGAAGATGATAAACTAATGATCATAAATGCATATAGTCCACCGCCAAGCAGCACATGGTCAAAGGAGGAGCTGGATAGTAAACGAGAAGGTCTTATAACAAAAATGAGAGAGATTATAGCGAGAGCGGAAAACGATAGATCACGACTGTTGATAGTCGGTGACTTCAACTTGAAAACCATAGACTGGGAAGCATATGAAGCTAGCTAAAACAGAAGATTTTGGGACCTGTAGACTTGTAGACCTCATCCTGGAAACATTCTTGTATCAACATGTTAAACAAGCTACGAGGATGAGGGAAGGTTACCTTTAGGTGCTTCCGGGGCTTAGCGTCTCCGCGGCCCGGTCGTCGACTAGGCCTCCTGGTTGCCGGACTGATCAACCAGGCTGTTGGACGTGGCTGCTCGCAGCCTGACGGATGAGTCACAGCCTTGTTTGATCAAGTTGGAAAGGGGACGTTCCCTCCATGCTAGATTTGATATTTACCAGGAAGGAGGAAGAGATATTTGACATTCAGTACCTTCCTCCCTTGGGTAAAAGAGACCATGTCTTTTTGGGAATAAAGTATGCAATGCGTTATAATCTAGAAGAAAATAAGGAGGTTGAAGCAGTTGAAAAACCTGACTTCAGGAGAGGACATTATTACAACCTTAGAATTTTTTTTAGTGAGTATAATTGGACAGACTTGTTGCTAGGCAAGGAAGTGAATGAGATGTATGTCAAGTTTTGTGAAATATATGATAAAGGCACAAAAAAATTTATACCAAAATAGAGATGCAGAACTAAGAAACAGGATTGGTTTAATAGAAATTGAGAGAGGGCAAGAGACCAAAAGACACAAAAATGGAATCAATACAGGAAGAGGCCAAACCCCCCAAACATACCAGCGATACAAAGATGCGAGAAACAACTACATGGCAGTGAGGAGAGAGGCAGAAAGAAATTTCGAAAAAGGGATTGCAGACAAATGTAAAACAGAACCAGGTCTATTCTATAAATTCATAAACAACAAATTGCAGGTAAAGGATAATATTCATTGGTTGAAAATGGGAAATAGATTCACGGAAAATGAAAAGGAAATGTGCGAAACACTAAATAAAAAGTTCCAAAGTGTGTTTGTACAAAATGAAATCTTTAGGGAACCAGACAAAATAAGAATTCCAGAGAACAACATAGAGGTGTCTAGAGACGAAGTGGAAAAAATGCTCAAGGAGCTAAGTAAGAACAAAGCAGTTGGTCCAGATGGAGTTCCACCATGGGTTCCGAGAGAATGTGCACCTGAGCTCAGCATTCCACTTCAACTGATTTTTCAGGCATCCCTGTGTACAGGAGTTGTAGCTGATGTGTGGAAAAAGGCTAACATAGTTCCAATCTACAAAAGTGGAAGCAGGGAAGACCCCCTTAATTATAGACCTGTATCATTGACAAGTGTAATAGTTAAAATATAGGAAAAAACAATTAAAACTAAATGGGTAGAACACCTGGAGGAAAACGATATAATATCAGACGGACAGTATGGTTTTCGATCTGGAAGATCCTGTATAACGAACTTACTCAGTTTTAATGATTGAGCCACAGAGATTTTACAGGAAAGAAATGGTTGGGTTGACTGCATCTATCTAGACATAAAAAAGGCTTTTGACAGAATTCCCCATAAGAGGTTGTTCTGGAAACTGGAACATATTGAAGGGGTGACAGGTAAGCTACTAATATGGATGAAAAATTTCCTAACCGACAGAAAAAAAAGAGGGCCGTAATCAGAGGCAAGGTATCGGATTGGAGGAATGTCACGAGTGGAGTACCACAGAGTTCAGTTCTTGCACCGGTAATGTTCATTGTCTACATAAACGATCTACCAGTGGGAATATATAATTACATGAACATGTTTGCTGATGATGCTAAGATAATAGGGAAGATAAGAAACCTAGAAGATTGTCATGCCCTTCAAGAAGACCTGGACAAAATAAGTATATGGAGCAACACTTGGCAAATGGAATTTAATGTGAATAAATGCCATGTTATGGAATGTGGAATTGAAGAACATAGACCCCCACACAACCTATATATTATGTGAGAAATCTTTAAAGAATTCTGACAAAGAAAGGGATCTAGGGGTGGTTCTAGATAGAAATCTGTCACCTGAGGACCACATTAAGAACATTGTGCAGGAGCCTATGCTACACTTTCTAACCTCAGAATTGCTTTTAAATACATGGATGGAGAAATACTAAAGAAATTGTTCACGGCTTATTAGACCAAAGCTAGAATATGCAGCGGTTGTATGGTGCCCATATCTTAAGAAGCACATTAACAAACTGGAAAAAGTGCAACGACATGCCACTAAGTGGCTCCCAGAACTGAAGGACAAGAGCTACGAGGAGAGGTTAGAGGCATTAAATAAGCAAAAACTAGAAAATAGAAGAAAAAGAGGTGATATGATCACTACTTTCAAAATAGTAACAGGAATTGATAAAATTGATAGGGAAGAATTCCTGAGACCCAGAACTTCAAGAACAAGAGGTCATAGATTTAAATTAATGAAACAAAGCTGCCGGAGAAATATACGAAAATTCACTTTTGTAAGCAGAGTAGTAGACGGTTGGAAGAAGTTAAGTGAGAAGGTGGGAGGCCAAAACCGTCAGTAATTTCAAAGCGTTATATGACAAAGAGTGCTGTAGAGACGGGACACCACGAGCGTAGCTCTCATCCTGTAACTACACTTAGGTAATTATACCTGGAGAAAGCAGCCACACACAAGGCACAGCGCCGCAAAAAGACCCGAGCCAGAGCATACAACTGAGCCGATAGCATCAACCTCAAGAACTTGGGGGTGGATCGCCGGCGCGGTAGGTCTGGGGCTCCCCTTTCCTCCTCCCGGGTAGAGGGGGAGCTGCGCAGACAGCAGCGCGAAGACGAATGACGTCATACTAGTTTGCTCGTTTTTTTGTTTGGGGAGTTCTATCCACTTGTTCGGCTTTTGGTGGCAATTTTCACCAGAATAGGGGGTTTGTTTTGGGACTCCTACCTTTCTGGGTGCCTAACCCGTTCGATGGCAGACATAAAATGCTTCCAATTACACGGAGGTTTCTATAGGCCATTGCTCCCCTTGCCTCTCTAGAGGGGGGCCAGGTTCTGGCTCGTGGTACCCAGTAGGCCCATAAGAACTCCATACACATGACTGATGCCAAAGTCTGACATTAGTATATCAGCCTAGTAAGCTCCGGGGAGCCATAGGGGCTCCCCCCAGAAAAACTAATAAAACCGCATTGGAAATACATAAAACAAATAATTGAAAATATATTTGTGGCAACACCCGGTGCTTGAATGGCCGGCACGACCGTGTCTGGGCGATTCACGCACGGGCGACCAGGCCCTGATGATGTCACAGCGCACCTTGTTCAAAGCCAAAGTAAGTGGAATTTGGTATTTATTTTTACCCAGACATGTTCAGGGAAGAGAATTTATAATTTTACGAAAAAAAATTATTTTTTGGGAACACTATTTCATGCGCACCGGGGGAATTTCACAATAAACTCTGCGCAGCACAGTGGTTAAACTAAAAAGGGTGTAGAGACGTGCAACTAAATGGATTCCGGAACCGAAAAATAGGAGCTACAAGGAGAGGTTAGAGGTGTTAAATATACCAAAGCTAGAAGATAGAAGAAAAAGAGGACATGATCACTATTTATGAAATAACAATAAAAAAAAGGAATAAAATTCGTCAAAATAATAAAGTACAAAATAACAACAACAAGAATTAACAATTTTGACAAAAGAATCGACAGCTTAAAGAACAAGAGGACATAGGTTCAAGCTAAGAAGGCAAAGATGCCCAAAAAATTATACAGTTCTCTTTTGCAAGCAGGGAGGTAGATGGTTGGAACAACTTAAGTTAGGTGGTGATGGATGCCTAAGGTGTCAGTAGCTTTAGAGCATCATATGACAGTACAGTACTGGTAAGATGGAACATCACGACCGTAGCTCTCATCCTGTATCTACTCTTAGGTTCAGTATTTACTTTTCGTCTCATCCCTCCATCCCAGCCTTTTATACTTCCTAGCCTTTAAATTTACTTTGTTACACTTCACCATCCAACCATAAATAAATAGAACAGGATACAAACTCTCAACTCAAAATTGCTATTAGGCAACAAAGTTAGGCTTCTGAGTCAACCTGTACTCGCCTAGTTGTGCTTGCGAAGGTTGAGATCTAGCTCTTTGGTCTCGGCTCTCAACTGTCAATCAACTGGTAGTCCTCTCACCTAATTGTTACCTTTTATTTATGGATTTGATAAATCCGTTAAAAGTGGAATATCTTGGTTAAAATTAAAGCACCATAATACTGATGTGTTGAATGCATCAATCTCACAACCCATTCTCCTGTACAGTACTGATGGTAACTATGTGCACCACACTGCAAAGATTGATGTACTAAGCAATTAGATAGTACAATTTTGTACTATTCACTGTATACAGTCCAGAAAAAATTAAGCTAAAAAACCAAACTTAAATATTCCTAGGCCTAGTATAGCACACACGTGTCCTATATTAGGCCTCAAATAGCATGTATTAGGCCTAGGAAGGTTAGGTTTGGGTAGTTTAGTTTTTCTTTGCAAGTAGAAAATTGTTTTCCCGGTTTGTCCAAATTCAATAGTACCGATTTCTACTTTTTAATTGCATTCTTTGTCAATATATGTACTGTACTATGGCCCTCATCCTTCCTAGAAGTACTACACAAACAGGAGGATGGGCTGCAATCTCAAAAGGTTAAGTGGACTGCTCGAATGTGTACATTTCAGGTTAAGCAAAATGGTTAAATTTTTTACGGAATCACAAATCTAGAGATCTGGTTGTCGAAAACAGACAAAAGTTTGGTAGATTCATCTTAATGCAGACAAATGCTGGGTTCTAAACCTAGATGATGATGATAATAACATAATGCAATGTTCTTTCCCTCAAGCACTGTTACTGACTTCTTCCCTTCAACAAATATGAGGAGAAAAAATACACTAAAGTTCATAACATTAAGGATGCAAATTGCACTTGATAACTTACTAGTCATAGAGCTGGATTATCCTGTCTGACTTGCGCAGCCTCAACAAGATATCAATCTCATTTCTGTAAGATTTCAACGTAGCATCATCCACCCCCTCCAGCTCCACCACCTTGATGGCCTTCACTTTGCGTGTCTGCAAGTCCAGCACCTATCCACCGTAATACACAAGTGTTAATTATGCAGGTCATAACTCCAACACAGATTTGCAAACAGCCAACCTCAAACTTCAAACTTAAGTACATATATAAACTAGATTGGCTGAGAATACAGTAAGTTTATGTATAGAGTACTGTATACAATGCAGTAAATGAGCCAATAAGTTGCCACAGCATCACTTGGTATGTCTGTCCTACTTAGTATGCCTTGTACTGTATAATGCACATGGAATGAATAACTTATGATACCAGTAGCAAATAATAGCATAAATAGCAACAAAAAGTACAATACTGATTATTTACCAACCCTTACCTTACTTCCAATCATTATCTGCAACTTTCTCCTGTGCTTCAATTGCCATGTGATATTTTCCCCCATTTGATAACTATTTTTGACATGTGAACCTTGATGTAGTACTTTTAAATAGCTGCACAATTTAGGGGAGATCTGTAGGTTGGCATCAACTGACGCCTAGATATTTTCTGCCTGGTATAGTATCAATTTCATAAAATCATAATGATAGTGGCAGATGTACCATTCACTTGTAATAAATACGTTATAGAGTTGTACCTATACATATAGCAATAAAGTATAGTATGCTGAAAGATAGTATGGTAAAATAATCATAGCAACAAGTATAGCGTGATAATGTACAAGAACAGTAACACAGTACGATATCCCAATGCAATATCTTACCGATGAGAGCATACCAAGATGGTTTGAGCATGTTGAATGAGTGGATAATGACAGATTGGTAAGTGTATTCAAGTTAATTTGAGGATTGGAGGAAAATTTTATATTCAGATGAAGGTGTTAAGCCAAGATGGCATTACTACATGCACTATTCTTGTTAAACAATCACAATTGAGTTTGAACTTATTTTGATTGGGATGAAATCCATATTATGGTACTTAGTCATCAAGTAACAATGTGTGGCAGCTTATGTTTACAAATACATTAAAACACTACCCGGCCACAGCAACCTTTCCCTGTCTCCGAGTTCTCCCCACCATTCCCCATGCCCCGTCCCCTCATCCTCAGAACCATTCCTCTCTCACCCTTCCCCTCTTCCTTCCAAGCATTCCTCACTCATCCGTCCCCTCTTCCTCCCAACAATTCCCCACTTCCCCATCCCCTCATCCTCCCTACCATTCCCCCCTCCCCCGTCCCCTTGTCCTCCCCACTATTATCCCCTCCCCTGTCCTCTCGTCCTCCCCAAAATCCCCCACTCCCGTCCCCTTGTCCTCCCCAACATTTCCCACTCCCTAGTTCGATGCATTCCTAAACGATCTGATGATCCCAACAGAAAATTAAGAACATCAAATGATCTGACGTTCCCATCACTGAAATATAAGAAAAAACAGATAAACTAAATGAAAAAAATGAAAAAATACAAAAATAAACTATACTCAGGAAATGAACGGTATGGTAAACAACACAGCTCAATTTCAACGCAATGTCACACAAAATAAATTAAATCAAAATGAAAATAAATCAAAATTTATTAAAAATTTAATTGATCAATGCAATCGGAAACATTGAAAAGGAATCGTAACATATTTAGTCTAGCGTGATTTGCTATTACGTGCAACAGATGGCGTTGTTTTTCAAAAAAGCATGTTTTTACATGTCACAGGTGTGGCATCTATATATTCGGTATATAAAAACATGAGTGTATTCCAATGGAACGTTTATCAAAATTTCAATGTAATCGATGAAGAACTTTTGGAGATTTCAGTGTGTGTTGCTCTTACGTCCAACAGATGGCACTGTTTTTAAAAAAAAAGCATGATTTTTCTTGTCACAGGCGAGGCATGCATATAGGAGGTATATAAAAACACGCGCCTATTCGAATGCAACATTGTGTCAAAATTTCAAAGTAATCGATAAAGAAATTTCGAAGATCTCCCTCCCATGAAAAACACTTGAAAAAATACAGTTTTTACAAAAAAAGTCACAGACGTGACATCTATATAAATGTCAAAAGTGAATCGAACGTTGTGTGAAAATTTCAAAGCAATCGGTGAAGAACTTACCGAGATTAGCTATTTTGTTCAAAAGGACATTTACATTTTTATATATAGATATATATATATATATATGCTAGCAGTACCCGGCCACGCATTGGCCGGATACTGCTAGTATATATTCCTGTCCCCCTGGAACCTTCCCTGTCCCCCCCACAATTCCCCCCCTCACCCATCTCCTCGGCCTCCCAACCATTCCCCACTCACTTCTTCCTTCCCACCATGCCCCACTAGCCTGTCCCTTTGGTGGGTAAGACATTCTCCATTCCCTCATCCCCACTATTCCAAACTCCTGGGCCCAGTCGGGCCTGTGTCGCTTTGGGTTGGCAGATGCAGAGAGTTGTCTCGACTTCGGGTTGAGGAGTGAGCAGCAACCACCTCCTGGGTAAGTCCCTATTCTTTTCCTCTGTGGGTAGTTAGCTCTGGGGAGCCGTAGTGGCTCCCCCCAGAAAACCAGTGTCGAGTGTAATGAAACGCCATTTTCTGGGCGAGTCTCTGAGGCTCCCCGGAGCTATCCAGGCTGGATGGATATGTATATCTGTCTGGCATCAGTCAATGCATGGAGTTCTGCTTACCGGGGACCACGAGCCAGAACCTAGCCCCCTCTAGAGAGGCACGAGGAGCAATAACCTATAAAGACCCCCCTGTGCTTGGGAGCATTCTATGTCTGCCATCGACTGGGACAGGCCCCCAGAAAGGTGGGCACCCCAAAACAAACCCCTATTCTGGTAAAATTATTGCGACCAAAAGCCGAACAGGTGGACAGAACTCCCAAAACGAAAATTAGCAAGCTAGCATGTCGCCATCATGTTGCCGCGCTGCTGTCTGCTCAACCCCCCCCCCACTCCCGGGAGGGGGGAAGGGGGAGCTCCAGACCCATCCGTCAGCGACCCAAACTACAGTTCTTAGGCTGGATGTCAGAAAGCACGAAAAACACCGCCGACCGGGAGGGAGGGAGGGATGCCGGGGAGCCTTCGGGACTCTCCCAGAAAATGGCGTTTTATTACATTCAATGCCGATTTTCTGGGGGGGGGGGGGGGGAGCCCTGTCGGCTCCCCAGAGCTAACTACCCAAAGATAAGGAAAAACAGGGACTTACCCGGGAAGCGGTTCGTCCTCACTCCTCAATGCAAAGTCGAGACAACTGGCTGCAACCGCCGACCCAAGGCAACACAGGCCCTACCTGGCCCCAGAACATTTACCAGGTAGCATGCAGCCAGGACCCTGTTCGACCTCCAAAAATCCAGAGCCCGAATGTCAACCCAAGACACGTTGCCAAAAACAGCAGCCAAAGCCGCAAACTTACGAACGTCGTGACCACGGGGATAACCCGCAGGATGGCTAGACTTAATAACCCCTGTGCACAACCCGAGAGACCCAAGCCCGGGAACAGGGAAGAGGGAAACTGGGTCAACCCAAAGCGCATCCCCGGCCGCCGAAGCCGTGGCGCGCAAATAACGGCGGAGGGCCGCAACTGGACACAGCCCATGATGCACCCACAGCCTGACCAACCAAGCATCAATAACCCAAGGCCTCCTCCGAAACGCAGCCATTTCATTCTTCACCAGAAAAGAAGGAGACGGCAGCAACCGAACAAAATGACCACCAGGACTGAAGGAGCAGAAACCCCTGCGCCGGATGAGAGCATGAAGCTCCCCTATCCGACCCCCAGAAGCCAAAGTCAACAGGAAAAAGAGCTTTAGAAAAGCAATCTCGAACGGAAGGGGCCACAACAAACCAAGGAGAAGAGAGAAACGAGAGCACCCGGTCCAAGGACCAGGACGGCTCAGGAGGCGCACGAGCAGACCGGAGGTGAAACAATGCCCGAGACAGCTTGTGGAACGGGGTAGAAGTAACATCAACACCGAAAGCAAGCTGAAGCGGCTCTGCCAGCGCCGCACGATACGAGGCGACAGTATTGGGCATAAGATAATGGTCCTGGGAACAACCAAGAGATAAAGGACAGAACAATCCTATCAGAGACCGAAGACCAACGCAGTGGTAAGAAGAACTGGAAGGACCGCCAGGAAACTTCATACTGCTGCTGAGACGACGCACGCAGGTGAGAGACCAACAACGACGCCACCTGTGCACCATACAAGTGATGGTAAACCCGAGTCAGAAACACCAAACGCGAAGACTCGAGGAGAGGACCGAAACACCCTCGTACCAGGCTGGACTGATCCGCTGAAAGTGGCGGAGCCGCGGGAAGACCTTCGGGTTCGGACAACGAGCAAACAGCACCTGAAACCAAGGCTGGGCCAGCCTCCAAGGAGCCAGAAGGACAACTCTTCCCTGATAAGTCTCCAAGCAAGCCAGGACCTGGAACAACAACTGAACCGGGGGAAAGAGGTAAAGGTAACTCCACCTCGCCCAGACCTGCCTGAAGGTGTCGACCCCGACGGCCTCGCAGTCGGGGAAAGGCGCCACGTATACCAAGAAACGCCTCGACCACGCTGACACGAAGAGATCCACGTCCGGAGTCTGGCTATGTTGCCAACTGAAGGAGTCGTCGTCGACCGTCCATTCCGTGGAAAGGGGAAGGAAACGAGACAAGCCGTCCGTCAGGAGAGCCAAACCCCGAGAACTCAGCAGACGAGTCACCCGGAGAGTGACCAGCTTCAAAGAGCCAAGGACCGCATCGAACCCCCCTTGGTTCAGGCAACGAACCACCGGGGAGCAGATAGACCAGAGTAAAATATACCACACGTAAAGACTTGAGGAGATCAAACCAGCCATGTGATGTACCAGACCGATCTGCTGAAAGAGGCGGAGTCGCTGAAAAATCTTCCGGTTCGGACGCTGAGCAAGCAGCGCCTGAAACCAAGGCTGGGCCAGCCACCACGGGGCTAAGAGGACTACTCTCCCTTGGTAAGTCTCCAAGCGAGTCAGCACTTGGAGCAACAGCTGAACCGGGAAAAAGAGGTACAAGAACCCCTACCTTGACCAATGCTGCTGAAAGGCAT